GTCATTACTAAAAGCCAACATGGGTTTGTCAAAATAGATCATGCCAGACAAATCTTATTGCATTCTTTGACCAAGTGACAAAATTAGTGGATCAGAGGAATGCTGTGGACATAATTTACTTGGACTTCAGTAAGGCATTTGATAAAGTAGATCACAACCTACTACTTGACAAGATAGAAAAATGGGGGGTAGACAGAACCACCACCAGATGGATCCGTAGCTGGCTGACCGGCCGTACTCAGCGAGTGGTCCTCAATGGAACTGCATCTATATGGAGGGAAGTGTGTAGTGGGGTGCCCCAGGGCTCTGTTCTGGACCCAGTGCTCTTCAACATCTTCATCAACGATTTGGACGAAGGGATAGATGGGAAACTCATCAAATTTGTAGACGACACCAAGCTGGCAGGAATAACCAACACTCCAGAAGACAGGCTTAAGATACAGAAGGATCTGGACAGACTTGAACATTGGGCACTAACTAACAAAATGAAATTAAATGGTGAAAAAAGCAAGGTTCTACATTTAGGCAAGAAAAAACAAATGCACAAGTACAGCATAGGTGGCACCATGCTCAATAGCAGTAACTGTGAGAGGGACCTCGGTGTCTTAGTAGACAATCACCTATATATGAGCCAGCAGTGTGCTGCAGCTGCCAAAAAAGGCCAACACAGTGCTAGGCTGCATTAACAGAGGGATAGAATCAAGATCATGTGAAGTATTAATACCACTCTACAATGCCTTGGTAAGGCCACACTTGGAATACTGCATCCAGTTTTGGTCACCACGATGTAAAAAAGATGTTGAGACTCTAGAAAGAGTACAGAGAAGAGCAACAAAGATGATTAGGGGACTGGAGGCTAAAACATATAAGGAACGGTTGCTAGAATTGGGTATGTCTAGTTTAACGAAGAGAAGGACAAGGGGGGACATGATAGCAGTATTCCAATATCTCAGGGGCTGCCATAAAGAAGAGGGAATTAAGCTATTTTCCAAAGCACCTGAAGGCAGGACAAGAAGCAATGGATGGAAACTAATCAAGGAGAGAAGCAACCTAGAACTAAGGAGAAACTTCCTGACAGTGAGAAAAATTAATCAGTGGAACAGCTGCCTCCAGAAGCAGTAAATGCTCCAACACTGGAAGTTTTTAAGAAGAGACTGGACAGCCATTTGTCCAAAATGGTGTAGGGTTTCCTGCCTGAGCAAGGGGTTGGACTAGATGACCTCCAAGGTCCCTTCCAACTTTACTACTATTATTATTACTTTTAGGGAGGGGGTGGAGTCTGCTCCTCCCCCTGTATACAAGTGGCACTTTAAGCTACTTTGCAATTCAAAAATAAACTCTCAACACTGTAAAGCTGTCTGAAACCTAATAGAATCTTGGGAAGCTTGTTCTTTTTATGGACACCTTTTTTCTGCTTTAAGTTGAAAAGCCACTGCAATTTTACTTGTTACTTTTAAAATCCTACAAACTTTTTTTCCCCTCTGGACTTCTTTCTTTTTTTTCTACCTAAGTGCTGGGAACAGATACATTGTATCCCCTTGTGGTTACATTTTAAAACTTTTTCTTTTTTTTTTCTTTGTCTGGTGCTTATTCAAACTAGAAGCTTGGCTGTATTCCCAGACATGCTTATCTAAGACCTTGAAGCTTGTTGAAAAAGAAGGCTTTTCTCTGGTTTGATTTGGCTGTACAACACAGACTATTCCTTTTAGATACATGATATTTTGAGCCATCTCTCTCCTTGGATTATAAACATTCTGCCAAGAAGAACTGAATACTAAGGAACTTTTTCTCTTCTTTTTTTTCCTTTTCTTTTTTTACCCCCTGTCTTTGAACAGAACCTGGTAGATTATAAATTGGATATTTTTGTCATTTGCTCTTTTGTTTTTTCCTATTTCCTTTTTTTCCTTTTTCTCTTTCTTTGAACCTCCTTTTGAATATTCCTTTTTAGTGGGAGAGTTTTTCTCCTCTCCTTTTTTACTACCATTGTTTTTATTCCTTTTTTCTTTTTCTTTTCCCTGTTGCCATTTTTTAGCTTTTTGGGAACTATTTTTTCCTCTTCAATTTTTTTTGTGGTTTTTTCTCCTAGCAATATGAGCTTACTGGATTACAATTGGCCATTGGGCCACCTGGTGGATTACAATATAAGACATTAACTCAAAGATGAGCACTTCAAACTTGAATAAACGTGGGAGAAAAGGATCCTCTGCTCCTGCCTCAACTTCTGCGAATCCAGTCTACCAAAAATCAATCACAACAGTGTTACAGCAAGAAAAAAATGGATGCACAATAAAAGGATACCCAGGCAATATTACAGGCAATTGTATCCCAGGCTACGAAGATTTGAAAAATGATCTTGATAAAATAAATCAAAGAATTGAAAGCTTCCAACAGGTGATTACAGATAATCAACAAAGGATCAAAAAAATAGAAGACAAATCAGTGGAAGTTGACCAGAAATTAGAATGCTTAAAAGATGAGAATCAAAAATTGGCCCAAACAAATGTGGAAATGGAAAATACTCTGGTGGTGATAGAGATGGAAAGAGCATCATACTTTTTAAGATTTCAAAACATAATAGAAGATAAGGATGAGAACCTTTTAAACTTAATAACTGAGCTACTCGCAGATTTCTTAGGAATGGGAAAGGCTCAAATGGAAGGAAAATTAGACAAGGTCTTTAGAGTCAATTCGAGCTATGCCAGAAGAAACAGAGTCCCCAGGGAAGTTCATGTTAGATTTTTTAAAAGATCCACACGAGATGAGATTTTGAGAAAAGTAAGAGATCAACCACTAAAATACAAAGAAAAAGAAGTAGCAGTGCTCAAGCAAATTCCAAGAAGGATAAGGGAGGCTCGAAGAGATTATCCATTTTTAACCAGGAAATTGCTTGATAAAAAAGTGAACTTTAGATGGTTGGTCCCAGAAGGGATCTTAATTTACTGGGATTCGAAAAGATACAGATTGGACACCTCACTCCAAGCAGCGGAATTTTTTGATGACCACAGAGCCTTTTTGGAAAAATGGGATCCTGAACTTAAGAAGCAAGAGGAAACAGTTGCTGCAGGAGTGCCTAGAGGAGGAAGAAGTTAAAAAGACTTACCCAGAGGAAGGAGCAAGACTAAGAGACCAGAGACAGATAAGATCACCTAGAAGATCGAGATCTAGATATAACTGAAGTCATGGAGGAGATCGGAATTTTATCAGTAAGTATAAATGGACTGAATTCTCCCTCAAAAAGGAGAAAAACTTTTACAAGAAAGACTACAAAAGTTAAAAATGGACCTAATTTGCCTTCAAGAGTCACATATTAAGAGACAGCATTTCAGAATTTTAGAACAACCGAAACTTTACACTTGCACCCCAAAAGAAAAGAGGTATAGCCCTTTATATAAAAGAAAAGATGAATCCTAAACAAGTCTGTGCAGATGAAGAGGGGAGAATACTAATGGTGGAAAAAAACAGATGCAACTCGGGACTACAAAAGCCATAAACAAGGGAGAAAAGGAGGAAATACTCTACCCAAAGCCTTTTTAAAAATGAAAGAAGAATTGTCTATTCAAGATATATGGAGAGAGAGGAATCCAGAAAAATCACAATACACATATTACTCAAATAGACATCATGGTCTAGAATCAATATGATATAGACATCTTATGATTTGAAAATGATAATACAAGAGGTTGAGATAGAAACTAATGTTTGGGCAGACCACAACCCAATAAAAATGATTTGGAAAGAACCAAGAAAAAATTAAGATGGTCTCTGACAAACCTTCTAATGGGCCTTTGTGATTAAAGAAGGCTCTTTTGACCATTGTAACCTGGAGGAGGGAACTAGACATAAAGCCATATGGGACTTAATTCTAACTAATAGAAAAGAAGTGATAGAGGGAGTTGAAGTTGCTGGAATCTTAGGCAAAAGTGACCATGTCCTGCTGGAATTTAATATAACGCAAACATTAGTAACAGAAAACAATCCAACCAGTGTCTTGAACTTCAAAAGAGCTGACTTTAACAAACTCAGAGAGAACCTAGGAAAGATCCCATGAATGAAAATCCTAAAAAACAACCCAAGAAGCATGGGAAACTCTGAAAAATATGATCATAAAAGTCCAGACCAGCACAATACCACTGAAAAAGAAAAACAAGAAATTTGAGAAGAAACCAGCATGGCTGCACAAAGATCTCTCTGATAATCTGAAAGACAAAAAGGACAAATACAAAAAATGGAAAGAGGAGCACATAACTAAGGCCAATTATCAGCAGCTAGAACATGCAAAGATGAAGTCGGGAAAGCAAAGGCTCAGAACAAACAAAGACTTGCAACAGAAATCAAGGATAATAAAAAAGTTTGTTCCAACATATTAATAACAAGAAAAAAGCCAAGGAAACTATAGGTCGACTAAAGAGAGAAGATGGCATAGAAATAACAGGAGCAGGGAGAAAGCAGAGCTGCTTAACTCATACTTTGCATCAGTCTTCACACAAAAAGAAACTATAGTCCAACATACCAAAAAAACACACTGCAAAAAACAAATTAGAAACAAAAATTAAAATAAGCAGGAAAATGGTAAGAGAACACCTATCCAACCTTGATGAATATAAATCACTGAGGTCTGACAGATTATATCCCAGAGTTCTGAAGGAGCTGGCAGATGTTATCTCAAAACCATTGCACCACATCTTTCAAAAATCCTGGAGCACCAAGGAAATACCTGAGGATTGGAAAAGGGCTGATGTGGTTCCCATCTTCAAGAAAGGAAAAAAAAAAAAAAACCCAGGAAACTACAGACCAATCAGTTTAACATCAAAACCTGGGAAGATCCTAGAAAAGATGATAAAAAAGAGACCTGCAAACAACTAGAAGTAAATAAATGTTATAACTAATAGCCAGCATGGATTTATTCAAAACAGATCATGCTGTAAGATCATGCTTAGCCTCACAACTGACCCAGTGTTACTTAGGAATTTAAAAGAGCCAAAGAAACTCCTGAGCCGAAGTTTCAGCAAGCAAACAACTTTTATTTTGATCAAAACAGAGTTGGGTTTACTCCTCCTCTTTCGTGGCTGCTTAAAAGGGATGAAGGCACACACAGAAAAGATTTCTTTCACTTTTTATACCCCTTCAGAACAAAGAGACTTGAGTCTCCATACTAGGAGTAAAAAGGTACAGAAAAACAAATTCCAAGATGGTGACTCATACACATCAATCCAGGCTAGCTCCCCCTCCCTATTTCCTGAACCATTGAATTTCACCTTGTTCCTTTCATGTAAGCAATCACCTGTACCTAGAGCATGAAACATTTGCTTTTATATAACTAATTTCCCAATATAAGACACCTACAAAGCTGCTTGCACATAAACAAAGATATATATAAAATGATTACAAAGTATCACTACTAATATCAACATTACTAATATCAAGCTTAAGCATAATAAAATCAAAAGCATAATAAAATCCCTTCAATCCTCCCTTTTTTAATATAAAAGCTAAATAGGCTTAGGGACTCTTGAAGAGAGGAGTGTAGTCAGAAGATAAAGGTATTAAAATCAGTTCTTTAGCTGGTTTATCATTATAGATAGGAGTGGCAACAAAAGTTAGTCCAGATATAGTGGATCTAACAATTCTCTGAACAAGCGGGATAAGGCATGGTAAAAACAACAACCCTCCCAAGACCAAAACCATAATGAACAATATCCTTTTCCAAATATCAGATATTCCCGAACACCATCCTCCAACATCCAATGCTCCTGTCCATGTTTGGACAGGGACATGAGGCAACATTCGCATTCTGCCAGTGATTTCTTTGACATATTCCTTATATGTAATGTTGGACTGGGGCCTAATAATGCAATTTAGGGCCACAATGAAAAGGACCATTTGGTTGGTCCTTTTCTTTCCAGGTCAAATTTAAAATGAGAAGTGATGTTCTCCAATTGAATCTCTTGAGCTTCACATTTAAAAATGAAACAATTCTTTTGGGCCAGATCAATAAAAAGATTCTTTGATACTGAGGGAATTTCAATTGTGATTTCCAGTTCATGAAAATCAACTTGAACCTATATTTGTAGCTAGTCCAAATGATGCTGAGAAATCTGTTGGTCTGGTTATCTCAAAGCACACCAGGTTGCAGGAATCCTTTGATTGTGCCAGGTTGGATAGGGTGTACAAACATATTTGATGTTAAATGAGTAGGCCTGTCTCCACACTTAGTCCATTTAGCTTGATTATAGTCAATAGTTTTACATGCAGCAAAGAAAATTCTGGCACTTGTCCATAAGTCTTGTGTTATTTTTCCCCAAAAGGTAATGTCTATATGTCCCTCCATATGTCCAGATTTGAAGTTATTGGTAAAGCTTTACTGTATTGACAGGAGCATAACAACTGACCCTATTGCCCCTTTACAAGTGAAATACATAGTCTTGTTATAAACACAACTCCCTTTTGTTCTTTAAAGTATTGAGCCCATAGTCCTTCCTTCTACCAAAGAAGGTACAAGGGAAACAACAGTAGCAGAATAAAAATATTGCAATACATAGTCCAGGTTCCAAGAACATGATTTCCAGGGTAGTCCAATCCATTGAGGTTTTTTCTCCTACTTAGATGGAAACAGTTCAACAGATGAGGCAGGTTGAAATTTCATTTTCAGGCCATCCAGCTGCAGAGCTTGTCACTGGAGAGGGAATGATGGGACTTTCCATGGACTCATGCCTTGATTCCTTAAATCAGGAGGACTTGGCATGGTTGGGACCACTCAGGACTGGTATTTCTAGGTGACAGTTCTTTTCACCTGAATCCACTCTCCAGGAACAACAATGATCAGAGACAGGTGGTAGGGCAGCCTGGACCTGTACTGAGATAGAAGACAAAACCTACGTCAGATTACGCAAATACTGAGTAACTTTCTTCTCTTCTTCATTGACATTCTTAAACCTTCATGTAACAAAAGCCTCCCATACATCATTTCAAGGGACAAAAACAGCTTTCCAGTTGAGGCCTATATTGAAATGGCCTCACCACTAAATGTTGTAGAGCTTTTTATTCACTTGTTTACATATCACATGTTCATCACAGATTTGTTTAACTAAAGTATAAATACAACCATCCTGTTTTCAACCATCCCTTGAGCCCCCCTTTAGTGGCTGGTTCTGTGTCCTATCTATTGCTTTTCTTTCTTATTTCTTTTCAACATATGTCTCCCATCTTGCAACATTCACTTCAAACCAACTTAAAAGCAACTTTCCTGCTTCTTCCTTCTATTATCCATTTCTTCCCTTCCCTTCCACCAGTTCTTTCTTTTCTTCTTTCACAAGTACATCTTCCTTCAACTTTACATGAGCCAACTCTTTCCCTTTTACTATTAATCAATCCTCTTACTTTTCTCTTCTCCAAAAGTATTCAAGACTCCATAAGCATACTTGGAGTCAATGTATATATTCTCTTTCTCCCTTATTAACCAACCTCAGAGGCTGCCGTAAGGCATAAAGTCATCTATGAACAAGTGTTTACCACCTTTCGGCTATCTGATTTAAAATTATCCACACACTTGATAAAAAATGCTAACTCCCAAAACTTCCCAAATGTCAATTTTAGACAAAAATGCCACTAGCTGCCTCTTTTCCCCCACTTCTGGGTCAACCCCCTCCCCAAGCCATTCCTTTGTCTGTATTTACAAATTAAAAGGGAGGGGAACATTTATGGTTGCTTCCAAAAAATTTTCCCAGCAATTTCAAAAGACAGTGGGGAAGGAATACTGAACCTGCCAAACCAATCTTATTTCATTCTTTGACAAAGTGACTAAACTAATAGACCAATGAAATACTGTGGACGTAGTCTACTTAGATTGGGCATGACCTGGCTTAAAAACAGTAACTGTGAGAGGGACCTTGGAGTCCTAGTGGACGATCACTTAACCATGAGCCAACAGTGTGTAGCAACAGCCAAAATACTAATACAATCCTGGATTATATAAACAGAGGCATATAATCAAGATCACACAAGTTATTAGTACCGCTTTATAAAACCCTAGTAAGACCACACCTGGAATACCCAATCAGCTTTAGTAACCATATCACAAAAAAAATGTTGAGAGTTTGGAGAAAATTCAGAGAAGAGCAACTAAGATGATCAAAGGTCTGGAGACTAAAACATATGAAGAACAGCTGCAGGACTTGGGTTTAGCTAGTCCAAAGAAAAGAAGAAATAGGGGAGACATAATAGCAGTATTTCAGTATTTGAGGGGCTGCCACAAAGAAGAGGGGGTCACGTTATTCACCAAAGCACCAGAGGGCAGGACAAGAAACAATGATTGGAAACTGATCACAGAGAGAAGCAATCTGGAATGAAGAAGAAACTTCCTGACATTGAGGACAATTAACCAGTGGAATAGCTTGCCTCCAGAAATTGTAGGTGCTCCATCACTGGAAATTTTTAAGAAGAAGCTAGACAATCACTTGTCTGAGATGGTATAGATTCTCCTGCTTGAGCAGGGGGCTGGACTAGAAGACCTCCAAGGTCCCTTCCAGCTCTATTCTATTCTACTTTTCTAAATAAAACAATTTCTGTATTGGATTTTGGCAGGATGTTTGTACAGGGAGGGAAATGACAGTTGGGTTGGTGTTCTTTCAATCATTCTTCATTCTTTCAATCATTCTTGTAGTGCTCGAATTGGGCACCTGGGAAAGGAATAGAATGTTTTGTGTTGTGTTCAGTGAAGGACCCACTTTATGCAAAATAATACTGACACTTAGGATTGAAATTCAAATAGAGTTGCACATGTAGCACTATCTCTGAAAGGGCTGCAAAAGTCCAGCTTGGGGTTTTTCAGTTCATAGTCACTGATCCAGCATCTCAGGATCTCCTGTTCTGACTGTTTGCCTAGTCATCTCTACTCGCCTGGCTCAGTTCATCTCCATAATCCTTTGGTGTACCTGACAGCCCCTCTGGTCACTGGGTCACTCTCTCACCTGAACTGGCTCTCCTCTGCAGTCTCCTAGTATGTCTGTTGACTCCTTGGGCTGATGGCTTGCTCTCACACTGCTCTCTCTCTCTGACTTAGCTTCTCTCTCTCTCTCTCTCTCTCTCTCTCTCTCTCTCTCTCTCAGTCAGTGTTGCCCCCTTTCTCTCTCTTTGGATCACTTCACTCCTGCTCTCTCTCTCTCTCTCTCTCATTTTCTCTCTCTCTCTCTCTCTCTCTCTCTCTCTCTTTCCCTCCCTCCCTCCCTCCCTCCCTCCCTCCCTCCCTCCCTCCCTTTCTCTCTGTCTAACCCCTACTGCCTCCCACACAGCCCACTAAGCAGTTCTCTTTCCACTGTTGCACTGATCAGTGTGATTGTGAGGCCGGCGCGATTTGGGTCATCACTGCTGCTCTCCAAGCTGCCCAGTGGGAACCCCAGGATTCCCCCCCACTGCCCAGCTGATCACAGGGGCTCTCTGACCCACCCAGCTGATTGCACTGATCAGTGCTGCTCTCTCCATTACCCCTGCTACACACAAATCAGATTCATTGCCATTTTTCATACCTTTATTGTTTTTTTTTTTTGTTTGTTTAAAAACAGGTGACATTAATAGGCATTGGAATGTTATTTTGAACCAAAACATTTTTTTTCTTTCCTTCAATAAGGTCTGATTCTCAGGGACTGTCTGGATAAGTCCCTGAAGTTTTCTTGGCAGGGTTTTTCAGACATGGTTTGCTATTGCTTCCTTCCTGGGGCTGAGAGAAAGTGACTGGCCCAAGATCATCCAGCTGACTCTAGACCTAAGGTGGGAATGGAATTCACAGTCTCCCAGTTTCTAGCCTGATGCTTAATCAGTATATCAAACTTTTGTAGAGGTGATTGTTAAGTGATTTTAATGAAATTGAATGCCAATATTATGTCATTTGCAAATCAAATTTAGTATATGCACATGTAGATGTGCATGATTCCTTTATCCAAATGAGAAGACAAAAAGGGATACAGTATTTGCAATTCCCCAAAGAATGAGAAAGCTTTTTCCGGGTCTTCCTTTTTCTAATTTGGTGATGATGCTGTAATGACATTCAGTTATTTCCCAAGTTATGATGTTAGGTATGTTAAGTTTGTCAGAGTCACAAAGCACCCTTTTAAAAATTCATTTTCCACTAAAAGTTTGTATGAGTTACATTATTTTTAGTTTATTGGCAAATTGCTGCAATAATTTTATTAAACAAAATGTTTCTGGAAAGGGCTTCCGGTTCCGGTTCACGGCGTCACTAGTCGCACGGGGAGACTTCTCGTCGGCTAGGTTTCCCTCCATCAGTGGACCCTTATACGGGTCCAAAGTTGCCCTGGAGGGTGCAACTTCTATTGAGGAGGCTGCGGTCTGGCTTTGGAGGAGCGGCGGCTCCTCCAGCTGTCCGGACAAAACTCTGAGGACTGACGGAGAAGAAGATTGGCCAGTAAAATGGCCGATTGCCCTGCTGCTTCAGACTGTAAGTCGAAGAACATCTAAGCTTTTAATGCCCCTGTGGTGAATCCAGGTGAGAATTTTTTCTTATTTTTCTCTCTTTTCTGTTTTTTTTTTTTTTTTGAGTGTGTGCCTGTAAAGAGCTTTTGAAATTATTTCCCGGGGTTGGAAAGGCGGCTTCTGCTTTTTTACAGGAAGAAATGCACTTTATAAATACTGAAAGGCTATAATCTATTTTTATTGGGACACTAAAAAGGAAAAAAAAGGGAAAAGGTTTCTCTCTCCTTCCTTTTTAAGAAATCTACTATATATATATATATATATATATATATATATATATATATATATATATATATATATATATATATATATAGTAAAGAAATAAAATGAACACCAGGGTAATAAAAACTGTAAAAGTTTTTAATTAATTAAAACTATAAAAGTTTAATTAAAAGCGCCAAGCTTTCGCCGTCACCTGCCGGCATCTTCAGGGCTAGCGCGCCAGTGAATGAGGAAGTCCTTTATAGGCATGTCAAGGTTTGCGCCCGGCTCCTTGACCTTGTTATCGGGCCTGATTGATTCAATTGCGTACGGTTAACCTGTTTTTCCTTTCTCTTTTTGGTTGCATTTCTATCTTCATCCATCCTTATTTCTCTCAACCTTGGGGTGGTTGGGTGGCAACTCCAGTTGTTTCGGTTGTCTTTGCATTCTAATCCCCCCCCAGGTTCAGGTGGTAGTGCACATTCCACGTTCCTTTTTATTACCCTGGTGTTCATTTTATTTCTTTACTATGTATACTCCCAGGGTTCATATTTTTAACCTTTTTAACCATATATATATATATATATATATATATATATATATATATATATATATATGTGTGTGTGTGTGTGTGTGTGTGTGTGTGTGTGTGTGTGTGTGTGTGTAGGTCTTTGGTTGTTCGGGTTTTCTCCCGCGTAAAATTGGAAGTGTCTTGGCGACGTTTCGACGAAGTCCCATTCGTCATCTTCAGGCTGGTGTTTTCAGCTTCGTGCTTCGAGCAGCAATGTGTGGTCTTAGCTGTTTCTTCCTTTTAACTGCCAGTGGGGGTATGAACTGATTGGGTGGGAGCTTGGCTGTGTTCTGATTGGGTGGAGGTGTGTTCTGATTGGTTAGGGGCTTGGCTGTGCTCTGATTGGCTGGGGGGTTGGCTGTGCTCTGATTGGCTGGGGGAGTGTTCTGTTTGGTTGTGCTCAGGTTAGTCTGAGTTGCAGGGGGGTTTAAGATTTTGGGCTGCCTTGCTATTTTTTGGCTTCGTTCGTGGTCGTGCCTCATCTTCATGGAGGGTGTCAGTTTGCTTCATGTATGGATTGGAGGGGTTTAAAGTGGCTAATGATGCAGCTGTGGTCTGGCTTCTGGTTTGTGGTCGTGCCTCATCATCGGTGTGGC